ATGGGCGACAGTTGGGATTGCCTAGACAGGAGGCTTGTGTGCGATGGATTGGTGTGCCGGGGATGTTGTGGGGTCGTGTGGTGCCTGAAGTGCGGCGTTTTTCTAGTCTGGATAGGCCACCGGATGTTTTGGTGTTGCATGCGGGGGGTAATGATCTGGGAGTTCGGTCCATGCGGGAGTTGGTGAGGGACGTGAAGATGGACTTTCTGCTATTGCGGAGGGATTATCCGGACATGGTGTTGGTATGGTCGGATATGGTGGCCCGCGCCTCTTGGCGTTTGGCGCGGTCGATGGAGCGGCTTAATAAAGCGCGGATAAAGGTCAACAAGGAGGTGGGGCGCTTTTTTATTCGGAATGGGGGGTTGGTGGTCCGGCATTTGGAGTTGGAGGTGGATACCTGGCGGTATTTGCGGAATGATGGGGTACATCTTAACGCAGTTGGGACGGATTTGTGGTCTCTGGGTTTACAGGATGGTGTGCAGAGAGCAGTCCGTTTGTGGTGGGGCACGCATGGGTAAGGGCTTACCCAGCGTGTTGTGGCGGTTTGTTGGTCTTTGGAGGCGGGTATTATCTGGAAGGTACAGAGAATGGTGTGGGACCCATCGGTGGTATGGTGTGCCCGGGGAACATTCCAGTTAACCAAGGTTTAACTGGAATGTGGTGGTGCTGCACTGCGGACGGTAAGGTTGTCTCCGAGCTGGGTGGTTGCGGCTGGAGGCCGGTTGGTATATGGGGTCCGCAGGTGCATTTCGGATAATTTTGTGGATGGGGCCTTCGAAGACCAACAACAAATTGGTATGTTTCTGTATAAGGAATTGGTTTGGTGTTTAAAATTGTGTGGTTAATAATAAAAGGCCATGTTGGCCATTTACTCCAAATCGGTGTCATGTTTTTATTTAAATAAGAGTTATAGGTAAAGGGGATCTGGATGAACCGATCTCTGGTGCACTAGTCAAGTAATGCCCGTAGCGTAAAAGAAAAAAAAAAAAAAAAAGTAGCGCAGGGCAGGCATGACTAGGCCTAGAGTGGGTAAGGAAGGCTAGAAAGGGTTAAGTCAGTGCAGGGGGTTTGAAAATGTATAGGTGGGAGCTGGTTGGTAGAGGGAGAACGTGGGTGGTCTCCTGGCACCTTTGGGTGGGGTGGTCTGGGTGGGGGGCGGTCATTCGGAAGCTGGACGTTGGTGAGTGAGCTTCCCTCCCACCCTCCCTATTGGTGAGTTTTGGTTTCTTCTATGAGGAATGGGGGTTCTGCGGTTCATGGGGCGGTTTGTTGGTCTTTGGAGGCGGGTATTATCTGGAAGGTACAGAGAATGGTGTGGGACCCATCGGTGGTATGGTGTGCCCGGGGAACATTCCAGTTAACCAAGGTTTAACTGGAATGTGGTGGTGCTGCACTGCGGACGGTAAGGTTGTCTCCGAGCTGGGTGGTTGCGGCTGGAGGCCGGTTGGTATATGGGGTCCGCAGGTGCATTTCGGATAATTTTGTGGATGGGGCCTTCGAAGACCAACAACAAATTGGTATGTTTCTGTATAAGGAATTGGTTTGGTGTTTAAAATTGTGTGGTTAATAATAAAAGGCCATGTTGGCCATTTACTCCAAATCGGTGTCATGTTTTTATTTAAATAAGAGTTATAGGTAAGGGGATCTGGATGAACCGATCTCTGGTGCACTAGTCATGTTCACAAGAAGAATAATGGCTACTGGCACTTGATTTATGTGAAACGCTATCTTGCTGCCCTGTTACCAGGCAGCCTTTACAGTTGGTGAGTGCACACTGCATATGTGTGGTGGAGGAAGTCTTTGGACATGCACCTTATCACATTAGTACACTGATATCATGAGTGCTTGTTGATGCGTGGATGAAGTTGTTTAATGCAAGCTGGAGGATTGGAACTCCAGTTACAATAATTTTCTGATCTATGCTGCACTTTTGATTGAGTCCTCATGCACACTGGACGTTTTGATAACGCTGGGCACATTAGCTTGTTAAAGTTGCGTTAAAACTGTGCGTTTTTCAGCTTTTTTTTAGCGTTTTTGCATTAGCGTTTAGTTAGTTTTGCTGCATTTTTTTTTGGTTTTTAGCGATTTTTTTATTGTTTTTTTTACCAAGGAAAAAAAATTTTTTTTGTTGGTCAAAAAAACATCCAAAAACGCCAGTCTGCAGCATTTTACTGCATTTTTTCAGCATTAGAGTGTTTTTACAGCTAAAAAACTCCTCTTGAAACCCACTAATCCTGGAGTTGTTTTCCAGCCAAAAAATGTCCCAGCCAAAAAAGGTTGATTACAGTCTATGTGTGCATGGATACATAGGATAACATGCTGGGGGGGGGGGGGTTTACTAGCTATAGAAAAAAACTGTCAAAAGCCAAAAACAGCCACTGTAAAACCGTGAGGTGTGCATGAGGACTAATGCAGGCCATAGATGGGGAGAAAACCGGCCGATTTTCTTTAAAAAAATGAAAAATCGGTCGTTCAAGCGGTCGACGTTACCAGGAACGGTAAAAAAAAAATCTGCCGATTTTCATCCTGTCTACAGCCGGCAAAAAAGTGTCCCTGCAGAGAGCTCCGCTATTTCTGTGACATTTATAGCGGTTGCAACAATGTATCTATTTGTATCCATTTAGGATACAGATGTTTTTATTTGGAAACAAATAGATACATTGTTGCAACCGCTATAAATGTCAAGGAACTGTCAAAGAAATAGCGGAGCTCTCTGCAGGGACACTTTTGGCTGGACTGGAATTCCTCTTCTTCTTCATCCTCTTCTTCTTCTTCTCTTCTTCTTCTTCTTCATCATCCTCTTCATCTTCTTTATCCTCTTCTTCATCTTCTTCATCTTCCTCTTCTTCTTCATCCTCTTCTTCATCCTCTTCTTCTTCATCCTCTTCTCATCTTCTTCTTTGTCATCCTCTTCTTCTACTTCTTCATCCTCTTCTTCTTCTTCTTCATCCTCTTCTTCTTCATCATCTTCTTCTTCATCATCCTCTTCTTCCTCTTCTTCTTCATCCTCTTCTTCTTCTTCATCTTCTTCTTCTTCCTCTTCTTCTTCTTCCTCTTCTTCATCCTCTTCTTCATCCTCTTCTTCTTCCTCTTCTTCTTCTTCCTCTTCTTTTTTCATCCTCTTCTTCTTCATCCTCTTCTTCTTCATCCTTTTCTTCTTCTTCCTCTTCTTCTTCCTCTTCTTCCTCTTCTTCTTCATCCTCTTCTTCTTTATCCTCTTCTTCTTTTTGTCTTCCTCTTGCAGGTCACTGCTCATGCGTAGATTTTTTTATTGGTAAAAAGATCGGTCGATTTTTTTTCCAACTTTACTGATAAAAAAAATCTGCCAAAATACCAAAAAAAACGGCCGAACAATTAGCCCACTAATGATCCGAAAATTGGCCGATTTTATTTTCGGCCGAAAAATCGGCAGATTTTCGACCCATCTATGGCCTGCATTAGGCAGACTCTTACTTCTGAGGATTTGGCAATCTGCTTATTTATATGGAAAGGAGGCTTTAGGATCACCTGTGGAGCATTTCCTCTAAGAAGTATTCTCTAAAAGGGACTTAACCACTTCATTACAGGGTACTTTTACCCCCTTCCTGCCCAGGCCAATTTTCAGGTTTCAACGCTCTCACACTTTGAATGACAATTGCACGGTCATGCAACACTGTACCCAAACTAAATTTTTATCATTTTGTTCACACAACTAAAGTTTTCTTTTGCTGGTATTTAATCACCATTGGGTTTTTAATTTTTTGCTAAATTTACAAAAAAAAGACCGAAATTTCTTTTTAAAAACCCAAGTTTTTCTTTGTTTCTGTTATAAAAATTTGCAAATAAATAATTGTTCTTTATAAGTTTAGGCTAAGATGTATTCTTCTACATTTCTTTGGTGACAATAACCCATATCAATATTTACTATTTAGTCTCTAGGAAAGTTCACAAACTATGGGATATATCAGAAAATTGATCAATCCTGAAGTACTGATGGCCGATCTAATTTCTTGAGGCCCAAAAATGTCAGAACAGTACAGATATCCCCCAAATGACCCCTTTTTGCAAAGTAGACAGTCCAACATATTTCATAAGAGGCATAGTGAGTTTTTTGAAGTTGTAATTTTTTTGTCATAATTTTTTTAGAAAATGAAGAAATTAAAAAAATTCAAAATTTTTTTTTTTTACATATTGTCACCAGTGCAGTACAGCATCATCATATAACTGGTGTGGTGGTGATCCAGGACACTGACTGGTGACAGTACAAAAAAAAAAAAAAGTTGATAATTTTATTATTTTTTAAATTTTTATTCTTTTTTTTTCCGATTTTCTTTTCATATTACACTATGACCAAAGTAGTACAATGTTACTATAGTAACATTGTACTACTTTGGGGAAGTGATCAGTATTTTTCTTTTACACAATATGATTGCTTATATCAAATAATTTCCAATCACAGCTAATCACAACAAAAAAACCTGAATGAATCGATTTCATTCAGGTTTCTTTGTTGTGATTAGCTGTGATTGGCCACGGCCAATCACATGACATAGATGGGCTATGATTGGCCCAGTCTGTGCATGTGATCACTGTGTAGGTCACAGCTAGTGACACAATTGTATACAATGGATGGCATGAAAGGAAGCCTTCCATTGTTCCACTGTCATGTGACCTGCTGTGATTAGTCACAGCAGGTCACCTGGTACTGGTAACAGGCTGGTACACAGATCTGTCATCAGCTGTGTCCGAGGTACACAGCTATTGACGGATCTCGCCACAGCGTGGCCCTGCGGGCATGTGCAATGCTCAATCCGGGAGGGATGTCATATGATGCCCCCCCGGATCGACGAGAGTCCCGCCCGGTTAAAAAGCACTGGTATATTTATAAGGACTTTAGAAGGACACTACTAGTGAAACTTTTTTAGGACTATTTTTTCAGCACTGCAATGTTGTTTATTTAAGGTGTTACTAAACCCACAACAGTAAAAGTGCTTAATCCTCCGCATTGAGTAAAAAGGCTGTTTGATGCTGTCTTCTCTGATCCTCTCCTTCTTCCACAGTCCCCAGTCCATCTGCTGATAGTACAGAGCCCTAGGAGGCACTCTGCACATGCTCAGTTTGGTGTGTATTGCGAGAGTTTTTTATTTTTTTTGGAGGGTGGATGTGATCAGCACCGTGCCAATCAATACTGTCCAGACAGAGGGTCAGGGGTCATGCAGTCTCATAGGACAGTCAGAGGAGAAAAAAACCTCCTCCTACAAGATTAACAAGTGCTTGGCTGGACACTGATAGAAGTCACAAGACTGCTATACACTGCTGATAAGAAAAGGTATTTAGCAGTTTATATTTACTAAAATAATTGCATTTTCATATTCTGTGTACTGTGGGGAACATATATAGTGGAAGGGATCTCTACCTGTTTCCAAGGTGCCAGTTTACAGTTGACCCACAATGTCGAAGCTCGCTTAACCCATTTGAACGTACCAGATATGAGTCCAGAAAGTTCAGGCAAAGCAGCCCCAACAGTAGAAGCCGTCTTACCGGCACCTGTAGCCATGATTGCCCCAGAATTCATTGCTGTCTTGGGAAACTTCATGGAGAGGTGTTAAAAGAATAACCCAACATACACTGGGTCTGGAGATGAAAACTGAGAGGTTTTTCTGGAAATCAACAAGTGCCAGCCACTGAGGACAGTTTTGAGGGGTGGCTGGAGCAAGCCATGCAAGCTTTATATGAATGGGATGTTCCTGAGGCCCAGAAAAAAACAGAGAATCATTGAGAGCTTAGTGGTGCCTGCCTCAGAAGCCATTTGCAACTTGAAACTTACCAAACAGGACTGTACTATTTATGACTACTTGAGTATTCAGCAAGATATGTTTTGGCAAAAAGAAATGGCCTCTGACCTCATGTACCAGTTTGAACATACCATCAAAATGAAGGGGAGAAGCTAACTGACTGTATAAGGCATCTAGACAAGATAAAGCATCAGATATTACTAAAAAAAGATCTGGATCCCTGGTCAATAGACGATGTCCAGACACAACAGGTTTTGAGGGGACCTCAACCTCTAAACCCTATCATGATCCAGCTTAAATACTTGGGGGGGGGGGGGCCTGTGGAATCTTAAACTATCCCGAATTAAACTGTGCAAGAAGGCCATGCTGAAAAGCAAAAAGAAGAGCCAGTAAGCAGAGTCTGTTGCTGGGGTTAGAGTGGCTAGTACTGCTGATGGCGACACAGATAGAGCTTTTGAAAACCTAGATGTAGCAAATGATGGAGATTATAACACTGCTGACAGCCAGGATCACTGTTTTGCCTGGCAGGAAAAGCTCGGGATTCAAACAGTCCCCAAATCCTATAGCTGTCAATGTCGAGAGAAGCCAGTAAATCAAGAGGTTTGTTTCAACTGTGGAGGAGTGGGGCATTACTGACCCGCAATTGTCCAAGTCCTCCAAAAGCTGAAACCCAGTGTCCAAAGCCAGAGAAAAACTTCAGAGGGCCCCCAGTGAGGGAGCCAACCAGGTGCCCACTTACAGCAGTTAGCTCCATAGCCAAAGGTGCAAATAAACTACAGTGGAAGCCAAACCTTTGCAGAAGGCCCCCATTATTTTTGGGCGACCATGCATCCAACTCTCCTCGACCTCGGGTGCCCAGTCTTGGGAAAATTAGTGCACACCAACCTTCTGGGGCCCAACCAAGACACAAACAAAACTAGAGGCTCAGCAAGAAGGGGCCTCTAGTTTTATACAGAGAACAGGACAGACTATAACCCCACTACTTCTTTTTAACTTTCCTGACAAACTACTGGGACCTTCTCCCATCCTGCCAATCCAAGTGGAAGGCATCTATACGAAGGCCTTTCTGGACACAGGAGCGCAAGTAACCCTGCTATACTGAGACTTTTATGACAGACACCTCAAACATCTGCTCCTATAGAAATTTGAGGAATTAGAAATATGGGGCCTTGGAACCCAGAATTTCCCATATGATGGCTACTTACTTGTCAAGGTGACCTTTGACCCCTCTGTGGCTGGGCAATCAGAGACATTTGATACACTAGCCATTGTATGCCCTCGCCCATCTAGAACCGACAACAGTTCCCTGATAGTAGGGACCAACACTGATATCAGGTGACTACTCACTGCTCGTCTTGAAAACCTGACACCCCAACCGAGGGTATGCACCCCATGTTACAGCAAGTGTATCAGTGCCTAGTTCAACAACATAAAGCCTAAGCCGAAGGAGTGGGGAAGAAATGGCAATCAGACAAGAGAAAGAAGATACTACAATCTGGAGTAGTGGTGTGTCTATGGACTTCAGTCAAGTTCAATTGTGACCAGTCAGGGTCCTTTGTTGTCCTTGAAGCTGACCCGCAGGTCAAAAGACACAGAGGTGGAGGTGATACCAGAAGTAATATCAACTAGGGCTTTGCAATGAATACACAGGAAGATTCCAGTCAGTGTCCGCAACGTCACAGACTCACCAGTGAAATTGGGGGTCTGACTACTGCTAGGACAAGGAAATTCAGCCACCCCAGTTTCATCATCTGATTTGGTGGGGGGAGCAAAGGATGAGATTCCCATAGAGAAGTTATACCTGTAAAACACACCCCCGCTCCCACCCAGGTGGAAAGAAAAAGTAAAATCCCAGCTTCTGAGATGGAAGGATATGTTTTTAGCCCAACACTGCATTAACCTTCAGGAAGACAAACCATTCAGGTAAAGAGTCCAAAGGATCCCATTAGGGGACCTGGAAGATCTAAGTGAGCAATTGGCAGAGCTTAAGTGAGCAGGCATCATTCAGGAGTCTTAGTGCCCTTATACCTCCCTCAAAGGGGTGTGGAAGAAGAATGATTCCCTTAGGCTGTGTATCGATTACCGAACACCCAACCAGAGAACTATCCCTGACCAGTACATACTCCTAGAATAGAAGATGCCTTACAGTGTCTGTTGGGGGCACAATGGTTCAGTGTGCTGGACTTAAAATGTGTGCACTATCATATCCACATGCACCCAGAAGACAGGGAAATGTCCTGGTGGTAACTGACCACTTCACCTGGTATACCCTGGTATTCCCAACCAAAGACTAGGAAGTGTCTACGGTGGCTAAAGTTCTGGTAGAGAAGTTCTTCGTCCACTATGGCCTGCCTCAACGCATTCACTTTGACCAGGGAAGAGACTTTGAGAGTAGACTCATTAAGAGACTGTTAGACCTTTTTGGGCATTCAGAAACCAAGAACAACCCCCTACCACCCTCACAGAGATCCCCAGCCAGAACAATTTAATTGCACCCTCCAAGATATGCTTGGGACTTTTACTGCTGAAAAGAAGCAGCATTGGAGCAGACACATTGCAGCTATCGTGCATGCCTATAACAGCACTGAAAATTATGCTACTGGCTTTTCACTGCACAGGCTGATGTTTGGGAGGGAAGCTCGACTACCAGTTGACTTAGCATTCAGCATATCTTTAGATCATACCTCGATGATGTCCCACAGAGGATATGTAGACTGCATGAGGAAGAGTCTGAAAACTGCATACAAGCCGGCTACGTCAGACACCTGGGGCATCGAAACAAACAAAACTTTGGCTTAAAGGTGAGTGTACACAATCTACAGCCTGGCGATAGAGTGTTGCTGAGGAATCTGGGCGTGCTTGGAAAACACAAGCTAGCTGATCGCTGGAAGTCACAGCCCTATATCATCTGTAAGCAGCTGCCAGGATTACCAGTATACCAGATCCGCCCAGAAGGAACCTACCAAGCGTTCGACCGCAAACTTCAAACAGCGGCAATTTACTGAGCAGTATCTTACTGCATCTGAGTATGTGGAAAGATACTGCTCAGTTACTAAAATACCGCATGACTTTTATTATTAAGTCATGCGGTACTTTAGCAGTGAAATATTCATTCATGTTTCAGCTGTCAGTGGGGTTCCCTACTGACAGCTGAATGTTAAAAGAATTGTCTGCATTGCCCAACAATTAAAAAAAAAAAAAAAAAGGCATGTGGTCTTCCCTTCCATCCATACCAGACCCTTATCAGAGCATGCAGCTCAGCAGGTCAGGAAAGGGGAGGGGACAAGCAAGTGCCCCCCTGAACCATACCAAGCCACATGCCCTCAACATGGTGCTCCACCCACCAAAAGCACCTTGTAGTGTAAAAAAAGACAAAAGACAGTCTTTGACAAGTCCTTTATTAAAATAAATATTTAAAAATGTTCCCAGAGGTAGAGTTGACAATGCCAGCCAGCACCGCCGACCCTAAAAAAGAAAAAAAAAAAACAGCTCCACCCCCAATGCAGGCTCCTACCGTCTGACAGCTGCGCCGCAATCACAGTTCTTAAATAGGTTGATGACATCACCCCACCCCCTTGTGACATCATCATGCCCTGTGATTGACCAAAGAATTGCACCTTACCTGTAGTCAGGGCGCAGTGCATTTTGGAGCGTGGCGGGCAAACAGCCCATGTTCAAGTTGAACTTATGTTCAACTCGAATATGCAGCCCATCATTACTAAAGACCTGGCACCATAACTAGTAGCCGACCGCAGATAGCCGAATAACGGCTGCACTGCGGCCGGCCAGTTCTGGGTGGACGTCATATGACGCCCCCCCAGAACGCGCTCTCCTGCGCGCCCCAGGGGGCGCGCACCCGGCGATCTCCGTGATCGCTATGTCCTACGGACACAGCTGATCACGTGATGTGGTAAAAGGGCGATCACAGCGCCTTTTACCACGTGATCAGCGGTGTCCAATGAGACGCTGATCACAGGGAAATGCAAGTGCCGGTTCTTGGCTGCACTTTCCTCACGCTGTCAGATCGTGAGGAAAGTACTGCCGAGAACTGGCAGTTGTCACAGCGGGGATCGGCACCGATCATCAGGGCACTGATGATCAGTGCCCTGATGATCGGTGCCCAGCAGTGCCACCCGCAAGTTCCGCCCACCTGTGCCCAGCAGTGCGCCCACTAGCTCCGCCCACCTGTGCCCAGCAGATCAGTGCACCCACCTGTGCCCAGCAGTGCACCCACCTGTGCCACTCTGCAGTGTCACACACACCTGTGCCCAGAAGTGCCACCCACCTGTGCCCACCCACCTGTGCCCACCAGTGCCACCCACCTGTGCCCACCCACCAGTGCTGCCCACCAGTGCCACCCACCAGTGCAGCCAGTCAGTGCCCAGGGGTTGTGCCAGTCAGTGCCGCCAGTCAGTGCCCAGCAGTGATGCCAGTCAGTGCTGTCTATCAGTACCCATCATCAGTGTCACCTATCAGTGCCGCCTATCAGTGCTGCATATTAGTGCCGCCTATCCGTGACACCTCATTAGTGCTGTCTATCAGTGCCGCCTATCCGTGCCACCTCATTAGTACTGCCTATCAGTGCCCTTTAGTGCTGCCTATCAGTGCCCATCAGTGCCGCCTATCAGTGCCCATCAGTGCTGCCTCATCAACGCACATCAGTGAAGGAGAAAAAATACCTGTTTGAAAAATTTTATAATAGAAACAAAGAAACTTTTTTTTTTTTTTTTCAAATTTTTGCACTTTTTTTATTTATAGCGCAAAAAGTAAAGCATCCAGTGGCAAATAAATACCACCAAAAGAAAGCTCTATTTGTGAGAAAAAAATGATCAAAATTTCATATGGGTACAATGTTGCATGACCGCGCAATTGCCAATCAAAGTGCGGCAGCGCTGAAAGCTGAAAATTGGCCTGGTAAGGAAGGGGGTATAAGTGCCGGTAGGCAAGTGGATAATCAGCTACTGCCCCTATCAGAAGCAGTTTGTATGCCTCAACAATCAGATCCACAGCCTACTCAAGCTACCTTTCAAAGATCACGCCCAGCAGCCAGGTCTCAATCTATGCTGTGAAACACAGATGAAGAGGGCAATGAGGAAGAAGAAATGGGCATAGGGGGGAGCGGGTACCTGAATTTGACAGGTACCCGTTCACACTTCCGCTGCAATCACCTAGACGATCATAAGCGGAAGTTTTCCTCCCCCCCCCCCCTCCCTCCCTGTAGTCTTCTGGTACACGACGGTGGCCATTCACAAAGTGCAGCGCTTCTCGTGCATGCGCAGTGGGCACCTGCCTGTGAAGCTGCAAGCTGTCACAGCCCAGTGTCCACACTGAAGATGCCAGCGCCAGGGAGAGAAGACAGCCGGTGAAACCAGCGGTGGCGAGGACACCGCCGGACTGAGGGACAGCTAAGTGTCTGTATTTTAAAAGTCAGCAGATACAGTATTTTTTTTGTTCAGGTGGAACTCCGCTTTAAGAATATCTTCGACATAAAGAAGAACAATGAGTGCTGATAGTGATGGTTTGGCCCCCACAGAGCCCTGATCTCAACATCACCAAGTCTGTGTGGAATTACATGAAGAGACAGAAGAATCTGAGGAAGCCTACATCTACAGAGGATCTGTGGTTAGTTCTCCAAGATTTTTGGACCCATCTACCTGCTAAGTTGCTTCAAAAACTGTGTGCAAGTGTACCAAGAAGAATTGATGATGTTTTGAATATTATTTATTTTTTCCAATGCCAGCCTAAGACATTTGCACAGTAGTGTACATTCAAGAGTTCTGGTAGTAGACAGCCCTCCTCACTCTGAAATGAGGTTGCAGAATGGCTGTTTGTATGTGTGGTTGAGTTTGCATTCTGATGATCAGAAGTACAGGGCGGGAGATTGCTACACATACTTCAAAACACAGTGGATCACTAGAATCAAGTGAATGCTTTTCCTGTCCTCCTGAACTTCAGGTAATGGTGGCTTACTTAAGACTAGAAATGGCCCTAAGTTTGTTGAATCCACATAGAGAGTTAACTTAATACCTTACTGCACCTGGAACCCTCACATTGAATTTCCAAAACCGTGCTATTATGTGAATCTCAATCTCCACAAGGTATAATAAGGATGAAACCAAAAAACTGGAATTATGTGAGATAGATTCTGCAAATTTTTAAGAAAATGATCTGGATGTACAAACCAGATCCCTTTTACAGTCATAGATCGTACTGGGTCATCCAGATCCAGAGGCGTCCCTAGGGTTGGTGTCACCCGTGCGGTTAACACTTGGTGACACCCCCTCCGACGATCCCCGCAGAATGGATCGGATCTGCGGATTGATCCATTATGCTCAATCCGCAGATCCGATCCATCCTGCGGGGATCGTCGGCTTTCTTTACAACTTACATTTTCTTGGAGTGGGTCCGGGACAACTGCGCATGTCCCGGTTTCAGGCACAATCAATCGATAATAGCAGTAGTTCTATCATCGATTGATTGTGCCTGAAACCGGGACATGCGCAGTTGCTTCAGGTGGACATATCTACAAGGGAGACACATCTTGCCAATATACCGGTGTCACCCCGCAGGATCGTCCGCATGCAACCTATACGGGGTGACACTCCAAGAAAAGGTAAGTTGTAAAGAAAGCCGACGATCCCCACAGGATGGATCAGATCCATCTTGCGGGGATCGTCGGCTTGATTTACAACTTACCTTTTTGTGGAGCGGGTCCAGTGTCACCCGTGCGGTCGGTGTCACCTGGTGCGGACTCTCACTCCCCGCACCTGCCTCAGGACGCCACTGTCCAGATCTATGAAGACTGGAATGAATATGAGTTAGTTAGAGAAGTTTAGGAATATTTTTTTCTTTTTAAATATACTTACCTAGGTGAGTGCAGAATCGATTCAATGCTGCATCTGTTCCCTGCTGGTTCTAAGTGTGAGAACTGAGAGATCAGACATCATTGATCACCGAGTTTGCTCCCTCCACTCTTTGCAGAGAGCGAGGACTGTCAGTCTCTGGCTCACTGCTCTGCCCCCCCTTCGGTGCTCACTGGAGTGCCGAACTGTACAGGGGACGGGAGGAGCTGAGAGACTGAGCCAGCTGGTCTAGACATCTGGGTGCATCCTGACTTTAAAGTTGGGATCTTTCCCCAGCCTGGACCGGCTGAGTGACGTCAGCTGACAACGGACTTTAGCTTGCTGTTGGCTGAAAACGGATCACAGGAGTGCAGAATTTTTTTTTTTTTTTAAATATACAGTTGTGTTCAAAATAATAGCAGTCAGACATCACTAACCTGAACAATCACTGTTTTTGGTAGAAATTATATTTCTACATGGCAAATAATTTACTAGCAGGAGTAGTAGAGTAAAATAAATCCAACAGACCCAACAGTCATGACATGCATGCTGCTGATTCTGTGTAACTGAATCACTAATTGAAAGGGGCATGTTCAAAATAATAGCAGTGTGGCGTTCTATTAGTGAGGTCATTCATTCTTTGAAAAACGGGGCAATTATTGCCCTTATTTAAGGAAGGAAGGCAGCAAATGTTGTACATGCTGGTTACAGTGCATTTCTCTCTGAAATTCTGAGGAAAATGGGTCGTTCCAGACATTGTTCAGAAGAACAGCGTACCTTGATTAAAAAGTTGATTGGAGAGGGGAAAATATATAAAGAAGTGCAGAAAATGATTGGCTGCTCAGCTAAAATGATCGCAAATGCTTTAAAATGGCAACCAAAACCTGAAAGACGTGGAAGAAAGCGAAAAACTACCATTCTTATGGATAGAAGAATAGCCAAAATGGCAAGGACTCAGCCAACAATCAGCTCCAGGAAATCAAAGAAGGTCTAAAGTTACCTGTGAGTACTGTTACAATTAGAAGACGCCTATGTGAAGCCAAGCTATCTGCAAGAAGCCACCGCAAAGTCCCACTGTTGAAAAAAAGACATGTGCTGAAGAGGTTACAATTTGCCAAAGAGCACATTGACTGGCCTAAAGAAAAATGATGCAACATTTTGTGGACTGATGAAAGTAAGATTGTTCTTTTTGGGTCTAGTGGCCGGAGACTGTTTGTCAGATGACCCCCAAACACTGAATTCAAGCCACAGTACACTGTGAAGACAGTGAAGCATGGTTGTGCAAGCATCATGATATGGGGTTGTTTCTCATACTACGGTGTTGGGCCTATTTATCGCATACCAGGGATCATGGATCAGTTTGAATACATCAGAATACTTGAAGAGGTCATGCTGCCTTATGCTGAAGAGGAAATGCCCTTGAAATGGGTGTTCCAACAAGACAACGACCCCAAACACACCAGTAAACGTGCAACATCTTGGTTCCAGACCAACAAGATTGACGTTATGGAGTGGCCAGCCCAATCCCCAGATCTTAATCCAATAGAAAACTTGTGGGGTGACATCAAAAATGCAGTTTCTGAGGTAAAACCAAGAAATAGAGAAGAACTGTGGAATGCAGTCCAATCATCCTGGGCTGGAATACCTGTTCACAGGTGCCAGAAGTTGGTTGACTCCATGCAACACAGATGTACAGCAGTTCTCAGAAACAGTGCTTATACAACTAAATATTCATTAAGTGATTCAAAGGAAAGCAAAATCTTCAAACATTTTTCAGTTTATATAGTGAATGTTTGAGTTTGTAAAGACACTGCTATTTTTTTGAACAGTCTAATATTCACTTTTCTTCAATTTGTTTAGAGGAACAATACAAATTTGATATATTTTTCTTCATGTTTTGATTTGGAATAGAATGTGTAGTGTTCCCAATGCATTTGTGTGTATGGAAATAAAAGCTATTAGAAGGATTTTGAGCTTTATTCACTTTTTTCAACACACTCCTATTATTTTGAACACAACTGTACTTACCTAGGTGAGTGCAGCATCGATCCAAGGCTGCATCTGTTCCCTGCTGGTTCTAAGTGTGAGAACTGAGCGATCAGACACCATTGATCGCTGAGTTCACTCCCTCCACTCTTTGCAGAGAGTGGGGACTTTTAGTCTCTGGCTCTCTGTTCCCCCCCTTTTAGCGCTCACTGGAATGCCGGACTGTACAGGGGATGGGAGCAGCTGGCTCTGGCTCCCAGTGGTTCGCTGAGAAACTGAGCCAGCTGCTGCTCCAGACATCTGGGTGGATACTGACTTTAAAGTTGGGGTCTTTCCCCAGCCTGGACCGGCTAAGTGACATCAGC